TCAAGGTGATGGAGTCAATGAGATGCAAGGAGAACATTCCCAAGGGCCAACAAATTATGGAGTGCAGAAGCTATCAAGGAAACATATCATTGTTACTTGTAGCAAATGCAAGAATAAGGGACACAACTCTAGGACCTGTAAAGGGCAAGGTGGGAATCAATCCAAGAAGTGATTTTGGTTGTTTGTTGTGGTGCAATGACTATTTACTTTCTTGTTGTTAAAAACTGTTTGTTTTTGAAAACCTTAGTTATGGTTTGATGATGTGGTTATGTATGGTGCACAGACACTTGTATGCTTAACTTGGTAATGGTTTTTGGTTCCACTCATGTGGTTAATGGAATGTGCATTTTGGTCAATTTATGACACATATTTTGGTAATGTACTTTTGTTACATTTTGGTTCTATTTATGTGCTTATATTTGACAATTGATACACATTTTGAACATATTTTCACACTTGAATATCATTTATATCATTAACAACATTGGAATTCATTACAAACATGATGAAGTCAACTTATAACAAAATTATACCATTTTTACCCTGCATCACTTGATCAACAAAAACCCCCACATTTGTCTAACCCTATCCCTTACATAGACCAAATACTAAAGATAACAATCACAAACATAAACCAGCTTGCACATAAATACATCTTCAGCTTGAAACCTTCATCCTTCAATACATCACACCTTGCCTCCAACATGTTGTTCCTGCTCAAAAGTCCATTGCATTGTTCCTGTAACATGTTGATACTTCTTACCAGCCCATTACATCTTTCCTCCAACGTATTTATGTTTCTTAGAAGACCAGGTATGATGGTTTTACTCCTAGCACACATAGGCGGGTCAACCCACCCGATAAACCCACAAACAGAATCCTTAGTAGGGCAAGCATAAAACCTCCTTCCGGGATTCAGTGGTGTCCAAGACGTTTTCACCAAAGCGAGCTTTCCACAAAAACAAACCACCATTGTTCGATTTCAAGTCAGGAAGGAGAAATGGAAGAAAATAGCCGTTGGGGAAGAACAGTTAAGAACGTTGGGGAAGAAGATTCGTTGGGGAAGAAGCTGGGAAAAGAAAACGATATATAAAGGATGTTTTATTTTTCCATATGCAAAAATGGTCCCTATAAGTAAAAAGACAGAAATAACCTCACGTCCAAGGCACATGAGGGGGTTAACGGATTCTTTTTAACGAGTGTTAAGTACAGGGACCATTCTCACAAACAAACCAGTCCAAAAGGACCACAAAACCAAAAACCTCGTGGTTTGGACCAAAACCCCAAAAAATTGCATACCACAGGGACCTATTTTGCAATTAAGTCTCTCTCTCTCTCTCTCTCTCTCTCTATATATATATATATATATATATATCTTATTTTATAGTTCATGCCAATATATTATTATTTTTCATGGGAAGATGAATTAATAGGGTAATATAGTTTTCAGTATGTACATACTTAGTCTTTACTGTTTTTTTTAAATAAGTTCTTGAACTTGTTGTTTTTGTACACATTCAGCCCCAATGACCGACTACTCCAGGTTAAGTTCTTAGCTTGTACACATTTAGTCCTTAATGTTTTTATTTTTGAAAAATAAGTATGTGTTGTTTTTGTACACATTCAGTCATTATGACCACTTTCTTCAGGTTTTGATCACATGACATCCTACATGAGGCAATCACTAATGAGGTGTTCTCATATGTTGCTTGTCTGGGTAGTGAAATCGTGTGTCATTTGTCTTGTTTTAGGTTTGGTAGTGGGTTCATATAATACCATTTAATAGAGGCAGATTAATAGAATGATACTTTTAATACCATTAAAGAAGAATCTAAGTTATTCTCGTTATTCTCACCACATCACTGTGTGAATTCTTCTTCAACTCATTCACTTCTTTATTGAGAAAGGAAACCTCATCTTTAACATCTGTAAGCTCGTATTCAAAATTCGGGTTCAATTTGACATGTTCTTCATTAGTCCGCTTCCAAAATTTGCACTTTTTACATGGTTTCTTCAATAACAAAAACAAAATTGAAGTAGGTAAGAAAGAAGGTCAATTTAAAAAGAATGAAAACTTATTTGCATTAAAAAAACGTTCAAAATCAACATACCAAGGAATTAGGAAGACTCTAAACTTTTTTTCCAGTGTATTCTTTTTTCGTGGAAGTGAAAATTCGAGTTGGGAGGAAGCAATCGCAAAGAATCTCGTTGTATGCTATGAAGATAGATGAAACTAAAGCGGAATACATCTTCTTGGAGAAAACTAGGTCACCAACATTAATTGACTAAATAATGAATTAGGTTACTGATATAACTATGCAAACACCTCATTAATGATTATCCCATATAGGATGTTACATGAGCAAAACCTAAAGAAAACCAATCATCGGGACTGAATGTATACAAAACAACAAGGACTTATTTTGCAACTAAATCATTAAAGACTAAATGTGTACAAATTGAGAATTATATTACCTTATTAAGTCATTTTTCCCGGCTTAACTTGGAATAGTCGATCATAAGGATTGAAAATGTACAAAAACAACAAGTTCAAGGGCTTGTTTTGTAAAAAAAATAATAATAAATAATGATTAAATGTGTACGAACTAAAAACTATAATACCCTATTAAGTCATTTTCCTTTTTTTCATTTGTAGTGGAACTTCAAAATTTGATCACCCCTTATCTGGAGTAGTTTATTGAAATAAGGATTTGTAAGTTTGCAATCTAGAGGGTGTACGAGATTTACGCCAACAACTATCAAATGACCCATCATAAGAGAGACGTTATAGTACACTTACAAAAAAAGACATGTAATTGCACAAAAAATGGTCCGAAAATCCATGAATAAGTTAAAAAAATTAATAAATTGCACAAAAAAAGTAAATTAAAATGGGTAATAAATTGAACACATATCACATAGCTTCATGGAATTGACCTTATCAGTCGTTGGAATTGACCTTATCAGTCGTTGGGACTACTGAAAACACTATTCGAGAAGTGTGTCACCCAACAAACGAGCCGAAAAATAGTCATTAAAAGACAATCCTTTGTCAGACAAAATACACTCGTATCAAAGCAGAGCTGGTAGACGCCTAGTCGAAAGAATAGTTCATGTATATTGGACCATGAAGCTATAATAACCTCGCACAACATGCAAATGATGACAAAAAGTTCCCCTCCACGCCTATAGGGACATCAAGCGAACTCCCGAAACACGACACCCTGAAAAGTACCTCTCATATCGGTGTAGGCCATAACTTTCGTAGAATGTCTCCCATGTCAGTTTTGAAATTCATTTCTAGTATAGTTCATGTATATTGGACCATGAAGCTATAATAACCTCCTTGCACAACATGTAACTGATGAAAAAAAAGTTCCCCTCCACGCCTATAGGGACATCAAGTGAACTCCCGAAACACGACACCCTGAAAAGTACCTCTCATGTTGGTGTAGGTCATAACTTTCGTAGAATGTCTCGACCCATGTCAGTTTTAAAATTCATCTCTAGTGAAAACTCATATACATGGCCATGTTGAAATAGTAATAAAGCAAATTATCATAAAATGTTATGAAAACGGCAAGAAAACATAGTTTTGCTTATTATAGACTAGTTATGCGTATTCCACACAAGTTCCTCGTGTTCGAGACAAATATAACCCAAACACATATTTGTAACAAAATGATGCTACATATCAACATTTTATATTATCGCCAACCACTTCGCTATTGACAAGCACTTAAGTATTGTGTTTTGACCCTAAAAACATTGTCCATACAAAATAAGTTTATCATATTCTAGACAGTTTTTCCTTTTCGACTTACGTTTTTACATTATATAACTCGATAAAATGTTAGGAAAACATATAAATACACATAACATACCAACAACACCAAAGCCTAATCGTCATCAGAAGTTATTTCCATAAAAAACTGGAGCGTCCAAAATATTATTCATAGATGTGGTGGATATCGCATTCCAAGAACTTATATAGAGAGCGGCCACATCCAAATGGGTGCCCCACCAATTTTGAGTTTTGAATAACCCATTTCAGAAAAGTTTGTTATTTGAGAATAATTTTAAATATGATTAAATTTATAAATATCCTTATATTTTTTATATCTTATTGAAAAGCACTATAAAATTTGAAATAACATGTCGATTGTCTTTTTTTAACCAACGGTTATTACTAAATGATGCATGTAACAAGGAGGTAAAATCCAAAATCATCGTTGGCATCAAAAAGCATAAGTTTACTTTTGGTACAAAGTTTATTGAAAGCATGAGTTTTGTTTGGTAAGATATTTCTTCCTTGGTCCCCTACTCACCAAACAATGGTGTAAATCCATTTGTATTTTTTATGGGTTAAAACAAAAATAATAAAACATTTTTTAAAATCGTATAATATACGTGGACAAAAAATTTAATGCGAAAAAAACATAATATATGAACATATGTTTTTTAAAAAGTTGTATAATGTTAAATAGTTTGTAGAAGTACAAAATAGACTCGGAAATTGAAAAGAAAATAAATATAGGTCAATTTGTTTATGAGTTCATCCCTTCTTTGATAAATCAACACCATATCGTACTTCCATACGACCAACATATGGGCTATCACACATTAAAGAATCTTCTTTACAAATTACACATGCCATGTTCCTCTATTTTCAAACAAATCTAATGAAATTTTGTTTAAACCCTACCAAACATGTTACTTTTAAACCTCATATGTCCATTTTGTTAAAATTCACACCTTGCAAAACATTATAAAACACTCAACGAATCAAGATACTTATAAGAACTTGTATCTATCCTATACAAACCAGTCCTTACACTTCAATTGGCCCGACCCATCTTGATCCGTTTTAAAAAGTCAAGTATTTCACCAAACCCAGTTAGACCCGACCCATGAGTTAAACCTTGACCAAATTTGAACCAATGGTCAAAAGGGTCAAATATTTAATCCGAGTCGACCCCACTTGAACTTGACCCATTACTTTAAAATCCTATTCCAAGTTTTTGACTTGCTAAGTCACACCTAACCTCAGCCAACCCGACCCGAGAATTTGCAATATCAAATTCCATCCACATGTTTTGTTGATGGTGATGTCCGATCACATAGGCTTCAATCCCAAGAAGGTCCGAATTCCCAAACGTAAAGCAATGAATTTGATCATTCCCTTTAATCAAACCGGGTACTTGAACCAATAACCTCTCACCCGATATACTCATTTGAGCGCCCCGAAACATCATGGTAACACTAGGCAACACGGGTAACCCGACCCGTGTCCTGTCAATACGGTAACAAAGATCCATTGCACCTTGGAAAACGTAATCCGGATCCTCATAAACCCGTAAAACCGTTTTGGTTTGTTTCAAGAACTCGTTTTTCAAAGCGGTGTAAACCGGTCCAAGAAGGAAAGTAAACTGTGTACCCGAATCAACCATGGTTTGACCCGCCCCGGTATGATCGGGTACATATACGGATTTGGGTAACGATAGCACGGTCCCCGCAACTTTAATACCTTCAAGCTGAACCGTGTAAGCAACCCGGTCGAAATACGGTAACGGCGTTGACATATTGACTAACGGCGTGTAACTTAACGGCTGGAGCCAAGAAATCTTGGCATCTCCGAAAAGTAAAACTCCGGTCGAGTCCCGACTCGATATACAATACGAGAACTTCGGAAAACCCATTTGTGAAACGAACGATAAAGAACCCCGGTTCATACCTAATAACCCGGTTGTTTTCGAATCTTCATCTGGATTAGAGCTTGAACCGGAGTCCATGCATCCGAATACAACTTTGGGAAGATCCGAATTCGTAAACCGAAACGTTTCAAAAGCGAGATTACCTTCGACTGAAGTGGCATCGGCGTAGGAGACAATGGCGTGGCAGAGCTTTTTCGGGTCACAGGAAACCGGTAGAGTGAAATCTCGGGTTCGGGTCCTGCAAGTAGGTGAGGAACAAGGAACCGGAGTGTAGGAGGTGGAACGAAGTGGGTTGTACCATAAGGGTGAGGTCGGGGTTTTCTTGCACCGGAGCCATGAGAGCTCGCTGCCGGTATCGAGAACGACGGTGACTGGCTGCGGCGGCGATCCAACGGTGATGGAAACAGTCAGAGAAACATTATGGTGGAAAGAGAGCTTGTTTGGAGGGTTTTGAAGGGACCCAGATGGAAGTGATTGAAGCTTGAGTGGCAAGATTAAATTTTTGGAAGAAATCGAATGGAAAAATGAGAAAAACAGAAGAAAGAGATAGAAAGACGCCATTGAAGAAGAATAAGAGAGATGGGGTATGCGATGTAAGTATATATTTATTTGTGTTTTGTTTATGCGTTATGGGTTTTTGAGTTATATAGTGTAGTTAGACAGGAGGCTATACCATGGGGAGGTGTACGTGTGTAATGGGATTTTGAGTTATAGTTCGAGGATTGTGAAAGGGGTAGGCCCTTACTAGATTTCTTTTTTCTTCCTGCCGTCGCCTTCTGGTCCATACAAGTATACAACCCTTATGATTAATTTTCCTAAACCAAAATTATAATGAGATCTATTATTCTAGTAAATAAATTATGGAAAGATTTTGCATGATAAACATTAAATATAAATTGACGTTTGTTTGTACGATTTCTTGTTAATCTAGGAAGTAAATTGATTTCGTTGTTAAATTATATTCAATGGTAAAATGGACGAATTTAACCACTTTTCAAATTTGGTTGATATTACACAATCAATCCAATTTTGTCCAGGATATTTTGTCTAGTCTTGGTTTTATTATTATATTGAGAAATCAAATATTCTCTTACCTTTTTTCTTTTTATCATCTTTCTATATCGTACTATTTATCATATTTAATAAAATTATTAAGTTTTTATTACGGTCATCATCGTTTAAAAGTGGTTGAAGTTGAAATCTCTATTTTTTTTTTATGATACCTTGTTTCATTGCTACATAGCAAATCATAGACACGTCGGTATTTTGAGTTGATTTGCAATAATAACTGAGGATGCGATGAAATTACAAGATGATACGGACTTGTTAAGGGTTAACATTCAATTAGGGGTCTTTAGTTGCATTGTAGGTGGTGGTCATTGGTCAAGGTTCAGTAATAATATAACCATGATTGATATTTTTGGAGACTAGAATATTTTTGTTAAATTTATTGTATCCCAATATATATCTTTTTTAGTATTAATAAACATTCTGATTGTTTGAAAACAAAATAATAGAAACATGTATTAACGTATGGATTCAAGTTAAATTAGATCATTTTGATTCCCTATACAATATTCATATGCACTACTAGAAAAGTTTGAAGTGTGACATATTATAACATTGTGAGACACAATACATAGTGTCCGACAGAAAAATTGAAATAAAAATCATGTGATTGTTAGCTAAAACAATCTAAATGAAAGCTATAGTATTCATCGATACGAAATCAGCGATATAAAAACGTCAAAACGGAACTCGTATGAAGAAGTTATGAATTTTGCAGCATCATTTACAACGTAAAATGAAAAATAAAGTGTGAATTAGTCAACGAAGTCTAAATAAAAGTTGTAGTTATTGTCGATATGAAAGTGAGGACATAAAATTAATCGAAAACGAAATCCATATGCGAAAGTTATGATTTTAAAAAAAATAATAAATTCGGACCAACGAGAGCACGTCACGTGGCACCATCAGGAATGTGACACGTGTCGCAACCAGGTTGAACCCTTCCTCCCCAAGTTCAGGCGACGTGGACGAACCGTGCGCTGCCACGTGTATAGGACGTGGTGTGCACTTTGAATTTTGCTATAAATACCCTCGTTTTTTTTTGTTCAATCTTGCACCAAAACCTCCCAAATCTTTTCCAAACTCTCCCGAACCCTCGAGGTGAACTTTAGGAATTATTAGGTGTTAGAAGCAAAGTTCTGCAGCGTCAGAGAGCCCAGAGAAATAGAGTTTTCGGTTTTGAAGTACCATCCGCGTAGTGTCAAGTTTTTCGTTAAACAACTTGTAAGTTGAGTTATGTTTACCGTACTTTAAGTATAACTTATATTTATGTTCGTAAACGTTATTGTGAACTTATAAATAAAATTTATCAGTAATACAATTGTTATACCAACCGATCTACTTATGGGAGTGATATCTACGGTAGATCTGTGAGATGTTTAAAGTTGATTTTCCAAAAAATATATCTCTATATACCAAATGGATCATATTTCTGCTATGATCTTACATGTTGTTCCTTATCAGTTATACATCAATATTCTTTTGGGATTATTGATAAATCTGATAAAAACATTATAACGATTAAACTTTATAAATATGAACGAATACTAAAGCTTATTAATATTCGAGTTTAGGTCGTTCTAAAGGGAAATCTGATTTGTCAGTCAAAGAGCCGACTTTTCCATGAGTCTTCCATCTATATCAAGTGAGTGCAAGTTACTTTCATGGATATGATTTTAACAAAAGTAATTATTAAAATGTATTAAATATAAATTGAAAGTTTATATATGAATTCAATGTTTATTATATGGAATATTTGTTAATATACACTATGTGAACAAGATATGGTTATATATGTGTTAAAGTGTTTATATGATATTATTATATGATAATCTTAAAAATAAGTATTATTACTTAAAAGATTATTATATATTAAAATATATGATACTATGTGTTAAATATATATAAACTAACTTACGATGGTGTTGTCTAAACAAAGTTAGTATTAAACGTTGATTTTAAGGTTTGTAATATTGTCTAAGTTTAAAACTAAGATGTATAAAGAATATTTAGATCCTGTTAAGTTGGATAAAAGATTAATTGCATATTGTATTGTGATAGCATGGTATAAATAGGAAAATGGTTTTGGAAATTGATTATAAGCACTATAGTCTTACCTAATAATGAAATAAGATTTATAAAGGATGCTTAGTTTGTGTTAAATCGAAAGAGCGTTTAGTTATACCATGTATTGTAAAAATATTACATACGCAAGAAATTGTGTTGATTACATACATTGTAATCTTGTCTAGTTATACACTAGGACTTACAGGGGATGATTAGTTTAATTAAGTTTGGATATTGGGTAGCATCATGTTAAGGGTGCGTGTGTGATAGGAACGGAGAGTAGAAATCTATTCTGTGACACTATCAGGTGTCGATGTACGAATTACGTATCGAAGTACGATATAGTATTCCTTTAGACAACTAGATTTTGTGGGTCCGATCAGGCAACTGAAACGGTATGTATGGTCATTTCTCAGAGTAAGATGACAACACTTGATTATTCTAGACGGTCTTGCGATTTACGTTGCTAGTGTGGACTTATAACCTACGGACATAGATGAAATGGGATACCATATTCATCAAATAGTCTGATGGCTAAAACTTCCTTTATGACTTACACTGGCCAAGGAAGTCCCTAGATGTGTAGTCAAACCATTTCTCTAAATGATTCAGCATGTGAGTTGATTCTTCTTGATAATAGTAGACTAGGATTTGTGAGAATCGATTAGGATGAGTATGTATGGGTGTAATGTTTTATAGATATCTAAGTTATGGGATATATCTATATTGTTTGGTAATAGTTGGTTTTGTAGGTTTGATAATTATAAATTATTATCATAATAATATTATGGGATTAAAAACCCAATTTGTCTAACCAGGTTTACTAACCTAGCCCACTCAAATTATATGCATCACAGGTAACATGGTTAAAGCTGTTGGAACTTGTTTAGGATGTCGAGTGATTAACATACAACCTGCAATAGTGTTTAGGACCATTAGGTTTTTATGTAGTAACATATGTTGTGTATTGATTATGATATCCTTAGGTTTTTGTATTTTGAAACATCTTTACTCAAAATATTTTAATAAAACGAGACAGTTTCCGTAAAACGTTTTATTGTACAGGGATTTTCTACAAACAAAGAAGTCCTACCTACCCTATGTATTCAAGGGGGGGGGGGGTGCTGGAACCGAAAAAGACCTGGTTCCACACACGCATGATTTAGCAGTTGGTTGAGCAGTCGTGGCAGACAAACACAAACAGTAAGCAAAGTCTTGGCTCCCATAGTAGCTGATCCATCTATGTTGAGTTTGGTACATTTTGGGGGAGGAGGATTTGATCCATATCCCGCTTTGCATTGCACAAGAGAGCCCTTTTTTACTTTATATAAAAAATATAGATTTCCAATAAATAATAATTGTGAGTTTTAAAGCGTAAAGAAAAGTTTTTTTTTTTTTTTTTTTTTTTTTTTTTTTTTTTTGTTGTTCTGAAAAATAGGGGATGCTACAGTTGGTATCAAAACATTAGTTTAAGCGAACTAGGAATATTGATTATTTCTAAACATAAACTTAGAGATTAAGTGATGATGGTGAGAGATGTGTCTAGTATATTTTAGGCTGTCTACCCAAATTAATATTATAAACACACAAGCACTATAATATTTTAGGGTATATGCCTTAGTTAATATTATGTGCCAATAAAGTTATTTTATAGCATCCTTAGGTTGCATACCTTACTTGCTATTAGGTGCACTAGCACACTTTAGGAGTAATGCCTTATATGCTAATATGTGCTAAATGATATTTATTATAGCATGCCTTAGGTTGTCTACCTAGATTGCAATTAATTGAAGAAATTTGAGGTCCAATGTCGACCTTGATTTGGAAAAGGAATTCTTATGTGTACAGGATTCTAAAACGTTTAATTATTGTATTAGAACTTACATGTAACTTTTCAAGGAGATAATGAAAATTACGATAGTTAACATCGGCAACTTCGTAAAAAGTGTATTAATACCAAGAGAGTGGTAGCGTACTTTTAGAGTATGTTTGGTAAAATAATAGTACCTTGGAGGAGTATTGTATGTGTGATGTAAATTTTAAATTGGCGGGATGATAGAACTTTGGCGAGATCCATGAAGTCGTCCCACTGCTTGGCAATTCCGTCGCCAACTAGATTGAAGCATTAATTGCTTATGAAGTTAGAAGTACTATGAAGATGGTGATAAATACCTCAACTGTATCGAAGTTGGAGTTATATGAGATGCTATGAAGAATTCACAGGTTTGAGAAAGACGAAATGAAAGTCCGACAAAGTTTTCAGATTCACTAGCCCAAGACTTTGTCTATCGTGCAATGTGGTATGTTGTTCGAGTGGTGTGTTAAGAGCTCATCTATACCATATACATGATGCTATGACTTGGTATTTAATAACATTGAGTGAAAACTGACTTATATCACATCCTTACAAGAATTACATAGTGTGT